CAGCCAGCAGGCTGGCTGGAGAATTCTGGGAGTTGAAGTCCACACGTCTTAAAGTGGCCAAGCTTGAAAAACACTGTTCCATAGTAGAAAAATACCAGGCAGTGGAAATGTGTCTCTCACCACATTTTTGGACCTCATCTCACGCTTCTCCAGTTCAGTACATTTTGGCACGAATCGTACTTAACTGGAAGGAAAAAACAAAGGAAAATCAGTTCTAGGCCCTTCCTTGGCATTATCACCCGATTTTTTATGTGGATTTTTGTTTTGCACCTTACCCTATTAGGGAAATGGGGCACAATGGTAGCTGAACCCATTTCTCCAAATGTTGGAAAGTTGTTTTGTTTTTGCCCCCACCCTCCTGGGTAAAGATGCTTTTGTTCTGCTACCTCATTTTGGGGTAGTTTCGACTTGCTTTTGAGCCTCTCATGGTAATGTTTCGGAATTATTTGGTGATTATAAGGCTGCTAGGCTGTGTTTTTCTCCCGTGTTCCTCTGCTCTGTGGCTTTCCATCCCTCTGCACTCTTTTGACTTTTCACTGTTTCTACTGGAAAAAGACCCCCATCCACTGTGCCTTCAGGGATATCCATGACATTTCTGACCCCCACCCAAAACAGATGTTTTTGTGTCCCCTCCCTTCTACTTCTCCTAATAATACTTCTCATGTTTCAATTATTAGTCAAAAATGGTTGCGCAAAATTATCTCATATGATGGATTATGTGATGTCAAGTCGTTGCTAGCAACCACATAGATAGATTTTCTCTGTGATGATCTGTCCCTGAGTCCACCCCCCTGGCTGCTGGTTGTTGTCTTCTTCTCTTTCCTTCCACCTTTCCCAGCATCAGAGCCTTCTCCAGAGAGTTAGATATTTGCATAATGTGTCTGAAGTAGAATAATTTGATCCTGGTCATTTGTGCCTTGAATAAAAACTGTGGGTTGATTAGTTCAATGATCCATCAGTTTGTTTTCTTGGCTGTCCACGGTATTCTCCAGAGGCTTCTTCAACACCAAAGTTCAAAGTGTCAAGACTCTTCCTATCCTGCTTCCATAGAGTGTCACAGAGAATACCACATCTTGCATGATTCTGACCTTTGTAGGTATGGGCAGGTCACAGCATTAGAATATCTTTTCCAAGGCCTTCATGGCTGCTCTACCAAGTGGTGTATTTCTTGACTGCTTGTTCCTTTACTATTGATGGTTGATTCTAAAAGGCAGAAGCTCTCCACCACTTTGATGTCTTTGCTGTCATTTCTAAGGCTGGTTGCTGTACCTATTGTCATTAGTCTGGTCTTCTTTATATTTAATTTTAGTCCCATTTTTTCATTGTGCTCC